GTCCCCTTCTTCTGCTCGTACACTTGGCCGTTGAAGGTGAAAAAGGTCTTAAAGCACAGTTCGAGGGGCTCAATTATGTGCGCTCGTTTGAGTTGCGTCCTATTTTTCACGAAGAAGGTCGTCAATAGTGTTGACAGTCAGGGTGGGTGGGATGGAGGTGAATAACAAGATCACATCGAATGACTTTATCACCTCGTCTGCCTCTACCTCAAGATGCTGAATGTGCGCCAAGAACTTTTCAGCTGACTTCACTGTCCATGGCGAATCCTTGATGAGAAAAGAAAGTCACTGGTACAACCACTTTGACAGCCCAAAGGTTGGGGTGCCACGTAATGAGACGATGGGGCGTAGGGACACTCCTGACTTGTGGACTTTAGGCAGGCCGTAGAAGCGCGCCATCGCGGCATTAGTGGCCAGTGCTTCTCTTCTCGTGAGGGCTCCCGCCTTTCTCAGCTTGTCGACCTTCTTTTTATTTTCCCGGCGTACTCACAAGTAACATATCATAGAACTGAATTCAGCGAAGAGTACCTGTGACATAAGCTGGCTCTCGGATCTGGCAACTAAGCAGCAGACTGGCCCCAACTTCAAAACAGAATCTTAAGGTAGCCGTAGCAAGCGAAAACATTGAATGAGAGTAGGCTGTCACTGTGTCACTTTGTGGTATTTTCTAGGACCACCGGCATGCCAAACCTGGACCATACACATCCTGTTGATACTATAACCGCTCGTCCAAACTGCTTACTTTACAAATCCGAGAGCCTGCTAATTTCATAGCTAGTCTTCACGGTAAGCTTTTTTTGAAAACCACCGATCGTGGACTTACCGAGTAGCCAGTAGCTAATCTATAAACGCCTAATGTACGTACTTGTTGACGCATATGAAAGTGGCTTAGTGTGTGCAAATTTAAACTACAAACTTGGGGTAAAGGATACGTGAAGAGGCACGGATACAAGTAGTGTTATCTAGTAGGGACACTGAAACAGTCATTTCTGAACTATTCACCAGTTTCAGAGAGCCGAGACCGGAATTGGGATCCTCCCGCCCTGGAGCATTAAATCAAATGTTAGCCTATAGGGTCGCTGGCTCGCGTCCCTAGGCTGAAACCGGGAAGACTAACTTTCATAAGAGTATTATTTGTTAACTAATCGTGACTTAGGAAATGAACACGAATGGTTTCGCGCTGACTTGGAGTTCTGGTTCATGAATTACGTTTGACGGTGAATAGTCCTTAGTCGGATATGTTCGTTGATAAAG